TACACGACCAAGTATGGTGAAACAAAATAAAACATGGCACTTTTCTAAGCGGGTAAAATGGATAATAATGTATGGCGGAATAGCACTTGAACTCGGCGCAGTAATATAACTATATCATCGGGAGAGGATTATGAGTGATGATATTACTGCACCGAGTTGAAGTGCTATCAAGTGCTATTCTGCCATACATTATAGTTATCCATTATATGTTATAAGGCAATAACATAGTTTAATGGTCTGTTTAATAAAAAAAAAAAAAAAGTTTAATATGAAAAAAACGGTGGAGTGTTCCTTTAAACAGTAGCTTACTTATTGTAGTAATATTGTAGTAATACAGCTAGAGTTGTGTGAACACTATTTTAGTTGCCTGAACAGCCAAGTATACAACATTTTCCAATTCTAACTAAATTAATCTATGAATGAATCTAGCACTGAAATGTAACCATATTATAATGTAATTTTACTCTCAACAAACATAGAGCAAATTAAAACAATTACTTAAAACAAATTTACACATCAGAATTTTTGTATGTGTGAGGGAGAAAAAAAATAGTTCTCAGGAAGTGAAGTACATCTCTGCAGCCCCTCTTTTCTCCTCAAGCGCTCTCTCCTTCCTCCATCTCTATCAGGAGCAAGCTGAAGCCATCTTGTATAGTTGCTTCTATCTCCTGATCGGGAGCATGTTGTGTCAGACGATTTTTTTCTCACAGCAGCTAAAAGACAAAATATTAAATTAATACAAAATTAATAAATACATATACAAACATTAATCCACCTGTAGGTAACAAAATAAAATAAGGTTGCTTTGGTTACATTTTATACAGGAAATGGTTGCTTATAATGTGGCACTATTGAATGACTGTCAAAATACTGTTGTCAAACTCACAACAGTATGACAACAGTATTTTGACAAACAAAACCTTTTTAGCAAACAAAAACCTTAAAAATGTTTAGATATGAAAACTGTGGTGTAAACACATGCTTATCTGTGAATTAACTTTTAATTTATTAACTGTTAAAATAAAACGGCAATTATCCACTAAAGGAATAGTTCAACCAAAAATTTTAATTCTGTCAACATTTCCTCACCTCCACTTGTACGATGCCTGTATGAGTTTCTTCCTTCTGTTGAACACAGCAGAAAAAAAAATAAAAAAAAGTTTAATCAGTAGAGAACCACTTTCCAATTTAATGTTACATTCCAGTTACCTGTCTGGTCACCAACATTCCTCAAAATGTGTTCTTTGTGTTCATCAAAAGAAACCATAAGAGAAAATGATGAGTAAATTTTCAGTTTTGTTTGAACTTCCTTTAAAAAACAAGAACAGACATAACGTTACACACACACACAAAAAATAGCAGACATATCCTGATTATCAAAGTCACAGATTAGATTTAGATATAATTAAATCTGATTATACAGCCATTGAATCACTTTGAGCTTTAAAAGTCAATTACTGTTGTTTGTTGCTGATTTCGCTGTGATTTTTCCTATCATTTTAACAGCATTAACTTACATTACATCCCGCAGGCCGGTCTATCGCACCGGTCGCGTCAGTCTGTACTCGCATTCTCAAGGGGCAGTGGATCCGCTACCATATAAGCAAAAGTTCACTTCAATAAAGAACAAAGTGACATCCGAGTTTGAATTCTGGTATTTAAAAAAAGCACAAAGAAAGAGAGCGACGAACTTCACTTACCTGAACAGCAGTTGTCTGACAGTGACACAGACGTCTTCACCCTTCAGCGGGAGAAATTTCAAACGACGCATACATCACGTGAACCTCATTAACCAACCAGAAAAGCTGCTGTTACCGTGGAGATCGCGCCAAAATAAGCATTTTTTAAATGATATTTTTTTTCAAACGTTTTTTAATAAACTGATATATATATATATATATATATATATATATATATATATATATATATATATATATATATAGTTCGTTTTTAACATGTATATATATATAGTACGTTTTTAACATGATTTTGTGGTGCTTAAACTAAAAAGTATGGAAAATGTTGACTATTTTGTATGTGAATTAATTTTTCTTTAAACTATAATTTATTTATTTTTAAAAAAAACAAACAATTATCATGTTAGGAAAATGTATATTTTGTTCAGGTCAAATGGATTTGGGAATTGTTTAATGATTATTGAATTTTGTGAACATTGCTGAAAACTAATAGGCCTAGCAGCCCTAAATACTTATAACTGTCCAGTACACAAAGGCCCATAATCGCTACACTGATCTGGGCCATAATCGCTAAACTGATCTGGGCCACACACCTCCCATCCACAATCGGCCCAAATGTTGTCTGCCGTCATGCATGCAGTGCCATCATTGCCACGCATGGCCCAGAGTTGGCTGACATGATCTGGGCCACACACCTCCCATCCACAATCGGCCCAAATGTTGTTTGCCGTCATGCATGCAGTGCCATCATTGCCACGCATGGCCCAGAGTTGGCTGACATGATGCATGCCAGTGCCGGCAACACGCCAGCAGTGCCATTTTGAGGCCACATTTGGGCCAAGTCTGTTTGCTATGTGGGTGGGTCTATCTTCTAAATTCTGCTGATGATACCCTGACATCATCGCCTACTTACGCCAATAATCAGTTTAGATTTGTTTTTTTTCTAATCAGTAGCGATCGTGTCTTTCTCTTCCACTTGATTTGTGTATAGCATATTTAAGCTAACAATGCAATGCATAATATCATATTACTCATATTAATAATTATGACAATATCTGCAGTCAATATTGATTAAATGGGAGGGAAAAATCCTGCCCATACCGCAGCTATGAAAAAAAATGATAAAAGCACTTATCTCCTGAAGTGGTATTCTGGAACTGTGAATAAATTGAATAAAACAGCAAAACAACAACAATAACATCTTCATTAAACAAAAAAGAGATGACCTTAGATAATCTTTTTTAAAACAACTTTTTAATAATCCAAAAATCCTGAAAAAAAGTATCACAGGTTATAAAATAGGCTAAATATTAAGCACCATTTCTAACATTTGATAATAAATCAGAATATTATAAAGTTTTCTGAAGGATCACGTGACACTAAATTTTTGCATCACAGAAATATATTTTAAAGTATAGTAAAATAGTATTTCTGTATTCTTGATCAAATAAATCCAAGCTTGATGAGCATAAGAGACTTCTTTCAAAAACATTAAAAATAGTAATGTGTCCAAACTTATGTACTGTGTAAGTAAAAATATACAAAGGTTAGGAATCATTTTTGTTTCAAGAGTTTTTTATTGGGGGTGGGGGGCCTCCAACATGAATATTGCCTAGGGCCTCCAAATGTCTAGAACCGGCCCTGGGCGGACAACAAAGTTGCACTCTAATTGGGAGCACTGAAGCCATATACAAGTGAAACCCAAAAAATTAATATCGTGCAAAAGTTCATTTATTTGATTGATTCAACTTAAAAGGTGAAACTAATATATTAAATAGACTCATTACATGCAAAGTGAGATTTCAAGTCTTTATTTGTAATAATTGATTATGGCTTACAGCTATGAAAACCTTTTCACAATATTCTAATTTTGAATTTGATGTTCTCATAGCTGTAAGCCATAATTAAAATTATAACAAAAGGCTTGAAATCTCACTTTGTATGTAATGAGTCTATATAATATATTAGTTTCACCTTTTAAAGTTTAATTACTGAAATTAACTTTTGCACGATATTCTAAATTTGAGTATCACCTGTATGGCAGGCAGTGAATTGTGCGCAAACACTCCCACGAAAGTTGACACTAGAATGAGCATGTCTAGTGTAAAATTGCAAATCTGACTCCATTTCTTCCATTCCAGATGGGTTTAAAAAAAAAGATTGGAACTTAATTCCTTTTCTGTAAAGCACTTTGAAATTACCATTGTGTATGAAATGTGCTATATAAATAAACTTGCCCATAAGCAAAATACACCATTAAGCTTCTGAACTCAAACTTAAGGAAAATGTATTTTAAAGACTGTGTTAGAATAATTTGCAATACCACAGTTACATAATGAGGCTGTTAAAGCCGACTAGGTGAGTTTACTTGTTTGGTGTGATGACATTTAAATATCCCCAACAACCTCTGCAGGCCCATTTAGCCACTTAACAACTGCCTCTTGAGACAAGTAAAAGCTTAACAGGAGGGTATTACTGATGCATTTATTCCATAAAATAAAACATGAAAACATCTTGAGCACGTGTTCACCAAAGACTTTCAGGCATTTAACCAAAACATCATTTCATACAACCCATGACTTCAGGACAATGGAGCCCGAAGTACTAAGAGACCAACTCATTTCTGGGTTTTGTCCTATGAAAACCATGTTGATGCGGATTTTGCGGAAGAGATCAAGTAATGATCACAATTTTCTACAGAGCTGCTTTAGTTGAATTGAACTAATTTCATAGATCTTTAGTTATTGAACTGAATCACTGAACAATGAATACCACTTTCTCTTTAGAGCTGTGCTAAAGCAGCATTTATCCATTTGCACCATTAAACAATTTCAATGTATAAGTGCTACAAAAGTTGAGTCGGTATGGTTAGTTCAAGAGATGGTCATGCCTCCGTTACAAGCTTTTTATAAATTGATCAGTGGTACAATTTGAATGGGAACAGTTTCCCAAATGTTTCCTACACACTACAAACAGTTAGAGCAAAAATAAAATATAGCATATTTAGGCTAGTTATATTTGCTGGCATTTGTTTTACTTTGCAGTATAACTGGTGTACGTGATGGTTTGTGAAATGATCAAACTACTAGGAAGCACTCCAACAAGAACAAATGTCTTCCAAGGCATTTATTGCAAAGAAACAACTTTGAAATAGGTTTGAAGCTAAATTCCACAAGTCCAGACACTGTATTCTGCAAGAAAGAAAAGGAATCATGAAGCGAGCTATCAATCTAGTGTCTTGAATAATCCTAAAAACAAGGTTGTACAAAAAAACCCCCCAGCAATTTCACGAGACAGTAACACTTAGTCATCTACACAGCTGTAAGAGACATACAGAAACTTGAATGTGCCGAAACATGGATCTGAGAAGACACCATTGGAGGCTACTAGGTCACAGCTATTGATTCCTTCACACCTATAAAAAGGGAGAAATAAGAGAAATAAGTCGGTCAAGGTTCTATGAAAAAAAAAAAACTGCATTTAAACTGAATTTATAAAAAGAATAAACTCACTCATCAGTAACCATTGCCAGGGAGTTTGAGGAGTAGCAGTCTGTTTTGGCAGTCTGAGAAGCAGGTTTTCTGATAGAACATGTGCTGCGATCAGTTCGCCCATAGTTAGCAGTGTGAACGTTAATGACAGTCCCTGGCTCTAAAAACGACAACAATTCAGCTTCAAAATCAACTTGCTCTAAAAACAATTCAACTTTAAGCAACATTCATGTAGCATTATACACACCACATTTCAGAGTAGCATTTGCATTTTCACAGATCACACTTGAACCTACAGAAAACAGAGGATGTTAGATCATTAGTAAAGTGAGTAGTAGTCTTTCAAATAAAAGGCTTGAGCTTGTGTAAAGTGATCATGCTTTTGAAAAGCATGTCTGGTGGTGACTGGTTTGTGCGTCGCTGGTGAACAGGAGACAAATAACTAAATATTTCACCATTAGCTCAAACACTTCCTGGATCAAAGTGAATTGGAAGTAGACATGTTGAGGGATACTCACGGAGTGCAGTTGGGAGGCAAAAATAGGAGACTGTGAGGTACTTATACGTGCCAACGCAGGGATCAGTAAAGACTGTTTGTGTCGCAAACAACTCACAACTTGCCAAGCCATTGCAGCTTTACAGAAAAAAAAAAGAAAAGAAAAGATCCTTATATTCGTCATTACTAAAGACAAGGTACAGCAGAAGTTACATACAACAGTATTAAACTATCTTTTCATCAAACCTTTTCGACACAGGAGCCAGTGCATTGGGAGAATAGCAGTTGGAGTTTTGGAGCTCACTCGATGGACGTCCTTCCGAGCAGGTGAATTTATCTGTACGTCCATAGTGTGCAGAATTCATCTGAATCGTACCACTTTCTACAGAGATTTAACAAACAAAAATATGCATCTTGCATGAACACGTGGAAAAGTTCAAGATAACCTACATTTTCCAAATTGAACATGGAAAAATAGCTCACCACATGTCAAGTAAGAGTATCCACCATGACAAGTTACACTTTTTTCTGGAAGAGGAAGACCATTACAGGCTTGCACAGAAAGTTGAAGAAATGGAGGAAGAGACAAACAAAATCCAAACCTGCTTGGATGCAAATATAGTTGGTAGTGTAGTACTTGTAGGTGCCATCACAAGGATCTCGTGCTGCAAGTCCTTGCGTGCTTAACTCACACACGCTCAGTCCATCACACCTGTTTAAAAGGACAAAGATGCAGTCCTGACTGGACTCTTGGAAACCTTAAATCTACATAACTAACCTGTTAAAAAAAAAAAAAAAACAAGCGCAGAGGGAGCTGAAACTCAACATAGCTAAAAATCAATGCAAGGAATCCATAGAAAAGGACTTGTGCAAATACAAAGAAACTGTGGGCCATCATGAAATCCATTACAAATATGACTCCCACTAGGAAACCATTACACAAAACTGATGACAATAATATGGCAAATGATTTGAATAACTTCTAGATTAGGTTTGATTCACATGACTTATCTTTTAAACTATACCATAAGTGATGATTGGGTTCCAATGATAGACAATAGTCCCATGGAAGTCACAAGACTTTTTAAAAGAACAAACACTATTGGCACTTTTCCACTGCTGGTACGGCTCGGTTCGGCTCGGTACGGTTCGACTCGGCGCGGAACGGTTCGGCTCGCTTCGCTTTTCCACTGCGTGGTACGACTCGACTCGGTACGGCACGGTTCGGTTCGCTTTAGCTCGGTTGCTTTTCCACCGCAGTTAGTACCTCTTCAAAGTGGGTGGGACTGATCGTTATTTTGTCCCTACACTTGTAGGTCCGGTGATAGCCGTGTGCGGCTAAGAGCTGAGCTACTTCTTGGAACACTTTTTCATTCCGTTTTGCCCCATCCAGCTCTCGCTGGATCCGCTCCTCGGCAACCAACGAGAGGAACGTCTGCACCTCGTCCACTGACCACGATTCAGCCATTTGTTTTTAAAGTTTAAAAAACAGATGCTACCGCGTTGGCTGTTGTCTACTGGTTATTTAAATCTAGCGGGTTTAGTGTCCAATGACGCTGGTAGTGACGATTCTGTCTGACCAATCAGTGATCTGCAGTGTTTTTACGTCACATTTTAGTACCGGTACGGTACGCTTGGAACCTCAACAGACCAGGTACCATTTAAAGCGAGCCGAAGCGAGCCGTACCGTACCGGACCATGCAGTGGAAAAGCACCACAAGTGAGCCGTACCGAACCGTACCGTACTATGCAGTGGAAAAGCGCCAAAGCGTGCCGAACCGAACCGTACTATGCAGTGGAAAAGCGCCATATAAGGCAACAGGCCCTGATGGCGTCTCAGCTTTCCTTTTGAAGACATTTGCAGAGGAACTTACACCAGATGGGTCCTTGTCTTTCAAAGGTCTGTTAATTCACACAATAACATCTCTGGGAAAAGGCAATCATTACTCCCAAAAAACCTGTTCCACAAGAAAATGATTAGACCAGTAGCTCTGACTTCCATTATAATGAAAGTATCTGGAAAAGCTAATGGCATGGATGCTGAGGTCAAACATAAAGGGACCGCTAGATCCGTATCGGTTTGCCTATAAAGACTATCGGGGCACTGAGGATGCTATACTAACCAGAATACACCATTTAGCAAAACCCAAGGCCTACACCAGACAGCCATTTCTAGACTTCAGCTCTGCTTTTAATACTCTGCAGCCACACATCCTTCTCAGTAAACGCAGACAGATGTCTATTAACCAGTACATCATCTGAGGCCTGTTGCATGAAGCTAGTTGAACAAACTGAGTTTCAGAGTAGGTTTAGAGTTGACAGATCCATATAAATCCAACCTGGTATAGGTTAGGTTCACAACGCTCGGTATAAACTTGTTTCGGTGTCGGTTACTGTATTTTTTGAATTGGCTGTATCTATTGCTGTATTTTTATGTGGCAGCCTTTATGTCCAAGACAAATTTCCCTAGGGACAAATAAAGTAACCTCTTGAATCTCAAGAACGATGAAATCGAGCAACAGAGCAAGCAGACTCAATTCTACCCATAATTGTTCTGTCTGAAGTCACAAAGAAAGAGATCCTTACCGTTTAGAGACTTCAGGAACACCCATTGAACACTGAGTATTAATCGTTTGTCCTTGTGGTCGTCCAACACTGCAAATGTTGCTGTTTGTCCGGCCAAAGGTTGCTGATTCCACATGGATCACACCAGAGGCTAAATGGAAGAAAAACATCAGGACATTGATTACTCAAGAAAAAAAGTAAGATATTTTAGTTGAATGACATTACAACATCTTACCACAACTGAGACGCTGGACAAACCCATCACATGTGACAACAGTCTCTGAAAAGATAAGATTCCAGCTTCAGGTTTTATTTGTAGTAAGGTGAGACTGACAAACTATGAGGGAAGAGAATTTCCAGATACTACATCTGCAAAATACTAAATACTGTGAGAAAGAAAACCTTATACAGTAATGTGGGTTTTAGAGTGAATGATACATAACAAGGAATGTTATTGGATTACCACGATGCATCATTTACAGGATCTTTAACTCCAAGTTCTTCAAAAAAAAGTGGCAGTTAAGAGTGAGCATATCTTAAAGCAAAACTGCTTTCTTTATGCCTTCAGAACAATATGCATTGTCTGATTTAAGCTTTATGACTTAAAATACCATTACAGCAGAGCGCTATAGTGTGAGGATCTTAAAGATGCTGAGCCCCAACTGTTTTTATATGCAGGGTTTGAATGCCTTGCTAACAGATTTGACCATGCTCAGCACCAGCCAAAGCACAAAAGCAAACTTGAATATAGTCATTGACCCACACTGAATGTTCTAATCACACTGTGTGATCGTACACAAAAGGTTTAAGATTAAAAAAGTGCATTCACGCAATGTATATAATTGAGATTCCATCTTGTACCACCTGACCGCTGCAAATTCATTTAGGTGTTGACATAAGTCTGAGGACATGAACAGCTCCAAGTAGAACCTCACATGTCATCTCATAATAGACCTTAGTCAGGGTAGCCCCATATCTTTTGACAGGAATGAAAACTAGGCTGTGAGGGATAGAAGTACAAGTGGGTTCAATGGATCCTACTGTTGTTTAACGCAATTGTCCAGCTAACAAAAAGAAATTCAATAGACAAACTCGATAAATTGGTTTTGAAAGTTATGTTACGAAAATTACATGATCTAAGACCTTTTTTAGCCCATTCAGTGTGCGGTCTGCTCACCATTGTAAAGACTGCAAGTCAATCCCTCAGAGCCCTGATTTTCATCCAGGTTACAGTAAATTCAATATGGCATCTACCCTGACTAAGATATATTATCTTAATTACAGCATGCTGTGCACACAGCATAAGTAATTGTGTAACTGCTGATTGGCAACTGGACTGATGAAGTACCGGCAGATATCAGCAACCTGGAGTTTAGAAGCACTGTAAAAAAAAAAAAAAAAAAAAAACACAAGTCACTAAATTAATGACAAATCATACATTTCATTACCCATAAAAATGTACTAAAGTTACATTTCAGAACTTCCAGAAGAGATGGAAGTGCATCAAATTAAAAATGAAACACTGTAGGTTATGGTACGATTACAAAGACGACCTGTATATTGATAAGGAGAAAAAAGTCGGACGGAGAGGCAATGGTACCATATAGTTTGTTTTATTTTTAATTTTACGAAAGCTTTATGTGCAGATAATTATTCGTCATGCTATACATGCAAATTGACGAGGGCGGATACAAATTCTGAAGCATTTTTTTAGGTCCAAAAGAGGACATGTCCGGGCGAAAAAGGACTTAGTCAACCAGCTAGGATCAAAGATAAACTGAAATGTACGGCGCTTTACCTGCGCACGGATTGAAGCCCGTTATTGGACCTAACAAAAGCTCTGCTAACGTGGACTTTAAGTTCTAATTTAACAATTTATGAACTTATCGAACACTTACATTTTTAAAACACGAAAGGAATTGAATCAAGAATACACACTTACAGGTAAAGATGATGACGCTCAAATAAACCATGTTGATGATAAAGGAAGAAATTCTATCTCTGCTTAGTTGATATCAGATGAGAGGATCTACTTGTACAAGTTCGTTCCGACGTCACGACCAATTGGGTCCTTCAAACGCAGGTGATGCTGTTTGTAATTTAATTTAATTGAATTAGGATACCTCGGCCGTTTCTCAATATGCGTTCTTGTCTGTACTTGTGTTCTTGTGGACTTGTGAAACGTCATCAGTCACTGCCCAAGTACTGTTCCAATTCAAAGTTCACATCTAGCCAAGTCCATTTCAAATCCCCGGATGTGTTCTTGATCCGCCCCGTTTACCGAGGATGCATCGAGAGGTGACCATACCGAGGTGACTTGTGCGGACCTATGGTGCGGACTTGAGACAGCCAGGTATCCCAGAATGCATCTCGCACCAACCAGCAAGCGTCAATAGCAGAGGAGAAAACCCGCATAATATCAAAATACTACTGTTATTGTGTCATGAAATGTAATTTTAAGAGTGTTTCAGGCGAGAATGTGGTTGTTTAAAACTCAAATCTGTGGTTTATTTATAAAGATAGCGCCTATTTGAAAAATGTCGAGTGGGGGTTCAATCTTCAACTGGCTGGCAGGAGCCGCCACTGGCAGGTCACGTGACCTGTCAGTGGCTGGCTGGCAGCTGCCAGTCTGCCACTGACAGTTGCCAGTCTGACACTGGCAGCTGCCAGTCAGCCACTGACAGGTGCAGTGGCTGACAGTGGCTGGCTATAGTAGTCTATTTGGCAAGTTTCAGAAACCATCGATTTTGGACAGTTTTTGTGTTTTGTGTTCCTCCCTTTCTAGCTCATTTATTATGAATCTGTTGATATGAATAATGTTCTTTAGTATGATTGCTGTTTTGTGAACTGTTATCCCAATATAACCAGTCAAATGGCCGTGATCAGACTGGCAGCTACAGACGCTCGCTGGACGCTCATCCAGTCAGCCGCGGCTGAGACTGCGAGTCTAACGCGTCGCCTGACACTCTCGCTACAAGGAAATACATTGTTTTCTTTTTATAAATATAATGCCATGCCTTTATTCTTGTGGAGGAATGATGTTTTAGGGACTGTTATCCCAATATAACCAGTCAAATGGCCGTGATCCGACTGGCAGCTTACAGACGCTTGCTCGACGCTCATCCAGTCAGTCGCGGCTGATAGTGCGAGGATAACGCGTTGCCTGACACTCTCGCTGCATTGAAATAAATTGTTTTCTTATTATGAATATAATGTCATGCCTTTATTCTTGTGCATGATTGATGTTTTGGGGACTGTTATCCCAATATAACCAGTCAAATGGCCGTGATCCGACTGGCAGCTTACAGACGCTTGCTCGACGCTCATCCAGTCAGTCGCAGCTGATAGTGCGAGTATAACGCGTTGCCTGACACTCTCGCTGCATTGAAATAAATTGTTTTCTTATTATGAATATAATGTCATGCCTTTATTCTTGTGTATGATTGATGTTTTGGGGACTATTATCCCAATATAACCAGTCAAATGGCCGTGATCCGACTGGCAGCTTACAGACGCTTGCTCGACGCTCATCCAGTCAGTCGCAGCTGATAGTGCGAGTATAACGCGTTGCCTGACACTCTCGCTGCATTGAAATAAATTGTTTTCTTATTATGAATATAATGTCATGCCTTTATTCTTGTGTATGATTGATGTTTTGGGGACTGTTATCCCAATATAACCAGTCAAATGGCCGTGATCCGACTGGCAGCTTATAGACGCTTGCTCGACGCTCATCCAGTCAGTCGCGGCTGATAGTGCGAGTATAACGCGTTGCCTGACACTCTCGCTGCAAGGAAATAAATTATTTTCTTATTATGAATATAATGTCATGCCTTTATTCTTGTGTATGATTGATGTTTTGGGGACTGTTATCCCAATATAACCAGTCAAATGGCCGTGATCCGACTGGCAGCTTACAGACGCTTGCTCGACGCTCATAGTGCGAGTATAAAGCGTTGCCTGACACTCTCGCTGCATGGAAATTAATTGTTTTCTTATTATGAATATAATGTCATGCCTTTATTCTTGTGTATGATTGATGTTTTGGGGACTGTTATCCCAATATAACCAGTCAAATGGCCGTGATCCGACTGTCAGCTTACAGATCTTGCTCGACGCTCATCCAGTCAGTCGCGGCTGATAGTGCGAGTATAACGCGTTGCCTGACACTCTCGCTGCAAGGAAATAAATTGTTTTCTTATTATGAAAATAATGTCACGCATCTATTCTTCTTTGCAACTGCACACTCTGTGTGTGTTGAATAATAGTTTAAGTGCGACAAGCAATGGCATATAGATTCTTGATTTTTATTTGTAAATATATTTTTTTATTTGTTTTTATTTGTAAATAGTTTTTTTCTTGGGTTTTATTTGTAAATAGTCTTTGTAAATTTGAAAATAGTGATACAGTCTGTGCTAAGTGATTTTACCGTTAAAGTTGGCATTCTTTTATTGAATTATTAAAAAGCTTTCTTTTATCAAATTATTTAAAAGCATCTCTATTTTGTTCTGGTGTCAGAAAATGGTCAAGGCAATGACAAAGATTCATGTTATTGGGATTAATTCACGTTCGGGACGATTTTAATCCTTGTGAAAAAGTAGCCTATAAAAACGTGAATTAATCCCAATAACATTGTCATTGCCTTGACCATTTTCTGACACCAGAACAAAATAGAGATGCTTTTAAATAATTTGATAAAAGAAAGCTTTTTAATAATTCAATAAAAGAATGCCAACTTTAACGGTAAAATCACTTAGCACAGACTGTATCACTATTTTCAAATTTACAAAGACTATTTAAAAATAAAACCCAAGAAAAAAACTATTTACAAATAAAAACAAAGAAAAAAATATATTTACAAATAAAAAACAAGAATCTATATAGGCCATTGCTTGTCGCACTTAAACTATTATTCAACACACAAACAGTGTGCAGTTGCAAAGAAGAATAGATGCGTGAGATTATATTCATAATAAGAAAACAATTTATTTCCTTGCAGCAAGAGTATCAGGCAACGCGTTATACTCGCACTATGAGCCGCGACTGACTGGATGAGCGTCGACCAAGCGTCTGTAAGCTGCCAGTCGGATCACGGCCATTTGACTGGTTATATTGGAATAACAGTCCCCAAAACATCAATCATACACAAGAATAGATGCGTAACATTATATTCATAATAAGAAAACAATTTATTTCCATGCAGCGAGATTGTCAGGCAACGCGTTATACTCGCACTATCAGCCGCGACTGACTGGATGAGCGTCGAGCAAGCGTCTGTAAGCTGCCAGTCGGATCACGGCCATTTGACTGGTTATATTGGGATAACAGTCCCCAAAACATCAATCATACAAAAGAATAAAGGCATGACATTATATTCATAATAAGAAAACAATTTATTTCCTTGTAGCGAGAGTGTCAGGCAACGCGTTACTCGCACTATGAGCCGCGACTGACTGGATGAGCGTCGAGCAAGCGTCTGTAAGCTGCCAGTCGGATCACGCCCATTTGACTGGTTATATTGGGATAACAGTCCCCAAAACATCAATCATACACAAGAATAAAGGCATGACATTATATTCATAATAAGAAAACAATTTACTTCCATGCAGCGAGAGTGTCAGGCAACGCATTATACTCGCACTATCAGCCGCGACTGACTGGATGAGCGTCGAGCAAGCGTCTGTAAGCTGCCAGTCGGATCACGGCCATTTGACTGGTTATATTGGGATAACAGTCCTCAAAACAGCAATCATACTAAAGAACATAATCATATCAACAGATTCCTAATAAATGAGCTAGAAAGAGAGGAACACAAAACCTCAAAAATCAATGGTTTCTGAAACTTGCCAAAGGCAGACTGCCAGACAACTAGCCAGCCACTGGCAGGTCACGTGACATGCCAGTCTCAGACTGGCAGCTGCCAGCCAGCCACTGACAGGTCACGTAAACTTGACGTATAATTCGTCTTGTGTATAAGTCGATCTTTGGTCTCATTAATCTATTGTTTGTTCCTTGGCAAAAAATCGTTTTGGCTGAGGGCAAAGTGAAGTTTCATAACTTTATATATTTAGGCTATTTAACTTTAACTTTGTAGCCTATTAGAGAGCTTATTTATGTTTGAATTGTTTGCCTTATTTATCATTGTAGATATTATTGATCATTAAAACTTAACAAAAAGAGACAGGGTTGTGTAATTTTATTTTATATACTTTAAAATATATATATTTTTATATTTATTTTAACATTCTCTTCACTATGTACAATAAAATAAAATGACACAACCCTGTCTCTGTTAAATGTCAATAAAAATAAATAATGTTTCATATTTTTAAAATGAAAACAAAAAGATCATGTTCATGTTGTTATAAATATATGCAGTGAAGATAATACGCGTTGCCTGAACCACATGGTCATTAGGCTACTATGTTTAAGATTTTTAAATTAAAAGAGGCAGGGTGGTGTTTTATAACATATTTCGTTTTATTGTTGACGAAAAGAGGCAGAGTTGTAGCATATTTCGTTTTATTCTTGCCTAAAATATACATAAAGATAACCGGAGTAGCCAGAGCGTGCTGAGTGACGCGATCAAGAACGCACTGTTCCATTTGCAGAATAACTGGACTCGCGTCCTCTCGTCCTCGGGAGTTCGTTCTCCTGAGTCGAACTTGGCAAGTCCGAACTACCAAGGACGCAAGTCCGAAGTTTGCTTACTTGGTATTGAGAAACGGCCCTCAAGAACTACGTGGGGCGAATTCCAATCGGAATGCCCTAGGGTCATTCCTGGGATTCGGTAATATTTCAGTCCCCAGACTTTTTAAAGTGGTGGTTAACCAAAATTAAATATTAAAAGCTTTTCACAATACTTTGGTATGTCCATTAGGCTATAATGAATAAAAAAATACATTTAGCCTAAATAAATTTGTATCATAAATAATGTCTTATTATTTATATTGTACACTAAGCATTGTGTCATGCCCCTGAGGCACTTCAACTAAATTTGTACTTAGAATATATTTTAAAAAATATTGTAACCACACTGTAAGTATGTATTTGTGTTACTTTCTTGTGAAAAATATTTTTCTAAAAAAAATGCAAGATATTTTATTTAAAGGGTAACTAAACCCTAAAACTTTACATCTGAGGTGTTTAAAGACTCCATTTGTTCATTGTTTATTTTTACACGACAATGTATAAAAGGCTCAATTACCTTGTATCTTACGTTATGGCCCGGTAGAAACAGTTTTTGTAAAAATAGGCTAACGATTGCGTCATAACCACGTGACTCTGTCGCA